CTACTAATTCATTATTATTATTTCAAACTATAGGAAGTCCAGAATCTATTTCCTGATACCACAAAATCTTTCTGTGGTAGTTTGACTGGTACTGCACTGATTCTAAGTTAAGCGGGAAGAATGGTCATCTTGAAGATCTAGAGTCTTTCCATCAATGGACTTAGAGTAGCTCCTCTCCGATACTTAGTTCTTTGATTATCTTTTAAAGTTGTTTTCTTAGATAGCTCTTACATATAATTTTGCTAGACTTTTTTTGTATCTACATCTATTTCATTTAGGGATAGGGATGTAGCTTTAGTGATGGAATGTGTGTTTAACATGCACAAGGCCCTGGATTCAATCCCCAGCACCCAAAACCAAATAAGACTCCAGCATTTGAATGTGATAATGTAGATGACATTGTATTTTAATTTCAAATTGCATTTATTAGTTGAAAGTGAATAGGAAAGCAATAGAATTTTATATATTAACATTGTACCCTAATCCTTGCTATAATCACGTGTTAGTTCCATAAAGTTTTGGTCCTTTGGGATTGTCTACATAGACAATTACATCATCTTTAAGTTTTGTTGCTTTCTTCCCAGTATGACATCTACCTTTTTTTTCATAACTGCACTAGTCAGAACTTATTTGATGTTAAAAAATAGTACTAGGGGCATCTTTGTCTTGGTTCTGATCTTCGTGAAAGTTAAGCTTCTCATTATTTGATATACATACATTTATACACAATATATAATATATATCTATTTCTTGTGGAGTCAACAACTGCCTATTATACTGTTCATTCTATACTGAGAAACACAGTAAGCACTATGAATTTAATCAGGTGCTGCTTCTATTACTCAGTTACAAGTTTGATGACACAGAATGGTAAGGACAACTACCATGGGATTTGCTTATCTCTGTCTTTCCCGTATTCTGAGCAGTGACTGGCTGGCTCAGAGTTCTTTCCTATGCTCATTTTTATTTTCCTGCGTCTGATGAGTGCTGCTGAATTCAGTCTCTTTGGGACTGATAGGTTTTCCTACATTTCTTTGAAAACACTGAGAGCAATTTAAGGAACATAGTTTACGATAAACTCATTTAAATTTTTTCATTGATTTTACATCACATGGGATGAGATTTTAAGGTTGTCTGGATTATAATTCTGTATTTTGCTAAAAATGCTCACCTATATTTCAATTATTTTCACAAAACTTTATCTATTATTTTAGTTGTAATGTAACAATTAGAACCTGTGTTAAATGATAGTAAAGACCCCTGTAAACTGGATAAACTGGACTTTCCAGTTATCAAGAGACTCATAGCTAGGTCTCAACATTTTCATCTTCATTAATTCTGAAGGTCAATAATAGAACAAGAAGTGCTAAGAAAGTCCAAAGGCAGAATGTGAGAAATAGTGTTGCAGAGAGAAGGTGGCATGGGCAGAAGGTACCAGGCTGGGTGTGGAGGTGCACACCTTTACTCTCAGCACTTAGGAGGCAGAGCAGGCAGGTCTCTGTTGGTTCAAGTTCTCCCAGGTCTACAGAGTTCCAGGCCAGCCATGGTCACATAAGGCGAGCTTGCCTCAAGCTCTACACCCACCTCCCCCAAAAGAACCTGCTCTCTTCCGAAGCTATTTCATGCATCACTCTTCCTGACGTCTTAAGCTGACAATTTTGTTTTGTCTTCACAAGTTGAGCGTTCAGAGGACTAACTGGTCTAAATATCAGTTTTCTCAAGTGGCAGGTGAAATCGGTTATTTCCACTCTAATATTCCATGTCGGAAGCATTCCCTTTATTTCCACTACAACTTCTCTCTTTTTTTCATTTAGGTAGATAATATAAACTCCTAAAGCTTTCCTGGGAATGCAGAAGTTAAAGTCAACTTAGAATAGAACACCTTATTTTATTTATTTATTTATTTATTTATTTATTTATTTATTTATTTTGGTTTTTCGAGACAGGGTTTCTCTGTATAGCTTAAAGTCAACTTAGAATAGAACACCTTATTTATTTATTTATTTATTTTGGTTTTTCGAGACAGGGTTTCTCTGTGTAGCTTTGCGCCTTTCCTGGAACTCACTTGGTAGCCCAGGCTGGCCTCGAACTCACAGAGATCCGCCTGGCTCTGCCTCCCAAGTGCTGGGATTAAAGGCGTGCGCCACCACCGCCCGGCTAGAACACCTTATTAACTTGAGAATATTCACTGCCAACATCTCACGAACCTCAGAGTTGTAAGCATGCTGAATCAATCTCTCTCTCTCTCTCTCTCTCTCTCTCTCTCTCTCTGTACACAGTTACCTCTGCTCTTATATATACACTTGAAAATAAACCTCTAAAATAAATCTGTACACATGCTGATTTCCTCAGTCCTTAAAATACAAATCTTACCTCATGCTCATTCTAATTTAACCAAAAATCTAAGAGGAATGAGAGAGAACAAAAGGGCTATTTTGTTTTATCCTGTCAGTAAGGAAAATAAGGAAATAGTTTCTTAAGAAAAAAAACTTTGCAGCCAGGTGTGGTGGTGGCACACGCCTTTAATCCCAAATTTCAGGAAGCAGAGGCAGATAAATCTTGGCCTAGTCTACATCGTCCATTCTAGGACAGCCAGAGAGAGATATGTAGAGACCCTGTTTCAAAAAACAAAACAACTAAAAATAAAAATAAAACAGGGGTTGGAGAGGTGACTCAGCAGTTAAGAGTGCAACTGCTCTTACAAAAGACCTGGGTTCCATTGCCAGCACCAACGTGGCGGCTCATAACTGTCTGTAAAGCTAGTCCCGGGGATCTGATGCCTCTTCTCACCCCCATAGGTACATATACTCAGGCACACATCAAACACATAAACTGAAAAAAGAAATTGGAGGGCTGGGAGTATAACTTAGTAGTACAATCCTTGTAGGGCTTACAAAAGGCACAAGTCCCAACTTTGGGCCTCAATATTCAAAAAGAAAAAAAAGAGAACTATTAAGAAAATACTGAACTAGAAATCTAGAAAGTTCTTGATCTGGATTCTTATGAAAAACCAAGTCTGGCAAGTGGTTACTCTGGAGGTTGGAGGTGCTCAATTGAGTCTAGGCATTGAAGGCTAGTCCCAAGAAAAGAGAACCTCCTCTCCAAGAAAAAGACATCCTTATCAAGGTGAGTAAGGAGATTTAGAGACATCCAAGGTATCAAACATACAATATTACAATAAAAAATCATGGTATGTTTGTCAAGCATTGCAGCTACTAAAGCACAAAACTAATCGTCACAAAGCTAGGAGGCAGCAGGATTAGCTTGCCTAGCACCAAGCCAGGAAGCCCTGGGCTTCACACCCAGTACCACATAAACCAGGCGTGGTAGCACATGCCTGCCACTCAGCACTCCGGAGGCAGAGGCAAAAGGATCACAAATTCAAGATCAGCCTCAGCTATATAGGGAGCTGGGAGAGCAGCCTGCGTTAAATGAGACCCTGTCTCAAAAGAAGAAAAACATTGTTTTTCTAATTCTAGAAGGGCTTCAGTTCAGAAAATCTGAATAGTCAGCAGGCTGTAAACTCATGCAGATCTTTAGTTGGCAATGGATGTAAATAAAGCATGTATAAGTCATTAATAAAACACAAAGGACTGGAACCTTATTTCCAAACAGTACAGGGCCATAATTAGATTTTTCTATGTATGATTTATTCTCCCTTCCTAAAGTAAAGTCAAGTTGTTCAGTGGGTGGCATCTAGAAGAAATAACTGAGAATATATCACCATGGTAAGTTCTAAAAAGAAAAGTTATTTTTCCCCCTAGGGGAGAAAAAGCTAAAATTAAGTTTGCATTCAACATTTTACCTCTTTACCACACTATTAACTATTAAAAAGAAATGCTAAAAAGCAGACTTCCACTTACCTAGGTTTTAAAAAAAAATCACAAGAAAATAAAATTATGCTTGGAAATATTTTAAAACTGTTTCTAAGTTTTATGAAATACTTATACATAGAAGTGGGCAGCAGAAGACTAAGTGAAAATGAATCCTAGAAAGTGCCTCTTCGATCTCTCAAGGTCAAGCCCACCAGACACACCGCTGCAGGGAAAAGCCCGCTCTAGGACTGCTTGGCTGCAGCTGACAGACATTGGTCGGTCCTGCCCCGCCCCATCCCCCCTGCATGTCCTGTACCTTAAAGATGGCAAACGGAATTCTAGCTTCCCAGGACCCAGCTCCGCGCGTCCGGGAACATTCCAACACCGCTCCCGCCAAGTCCCAGGCCCGTGACGATGGGGACACGAGGAGGGAGGTGGTGGCTGTCACCCAGTGTCCCCGCGTCAACCCACGCAAGGGCACCTCGACGGCCTGCCCAGGAGCGGCGTTCGCCGGGTCACGAGCGAGCGGGAGCGGCTTCCCTCCACTCACCTCCAGTCTTCCAGCCCCAGCCGCAGGCCAGAGCTCTGTTCCCTGTCACCTGCCATTCCCTAGGTCGCCCTGCCCGGGAGCGCCATTCCCTCGGTCACCTGCCGTCCCCTTGGTCACGGGTGGAGCAGCGTCCCCTGGGTAACCTGCAGCCGCCCCCTTGCTCACGGGTGGGAGCAGCGTCCCCTCGGTCACCTGCAGCCGCCCCCTTGCTCACGGGTGGGAGCAGCGTCCCCTCG